ACATACTATATCGTGCTTCAAAAGTAAAAAAGGACCCATGATTATACAAGAAACATCAGTAACACTATTTAAAAAGGACAGATTGTCTGAATGTGTCTAAAAAGTGTAGACCTCTAATTTATATTTTCTATAATATTAGACTGCTTTCAAACCAATCTCTGAAGTGTTAAAAACAAAAGTCCTTAGTATTACTAATACTCTTTCTCATGGCAAGGCCTTTCAAACAGAGTGAACAAATGACTCTCACCCACTAGAAAAATATAACATTTTCCCCATGTACCAAACTGGAAAATATGGTGATTTACTATGCAAAAATGCTCTTTTGTTTGTTTGTTAATCCTCACTCAGGGATATTTTCCCATTGATTTTCAGATAGTGTGGAAGGGAGGGAGGGAGAGAGAAACACTGATGTGAGACAGATACATCAACTGGTTGCCTCCCCACACTACCTGGATCAGGGCCGGGATCAAACAGAAACCCAGGCACATGCCCTTGACCAGGAATCGAACCCTCAACCCTTCAGTTTGCAGGCCAACACTCTAACTGCTGAGCCAAACTGGCCAGGGCACAAAATGTTCTTTAGATAAGAAGATAAAACTTTAAGGGGGGAAAAGGTCATTATTGCAGCCTTAATAATACTGTGCAACGCAGCCTACAAATGTTAACAAAATACCACAGTGGCCATTTGTTTCAGAAGAAAGGGCCAAAGAAATATGGTACTCTGCTTTTAATAAAAAAATTATAGATTCATAGGATTCTGGAACAAAGGAACCTTAATAATTGATTCTAACGCCCTCGTTTTGCAAAGGAGGGAAATGATCAAATCAGAGAAAAGAATGACTAGGCCATGGCTGGGTAGCTCAGCTATTTAGAGTGTTGGCAAATGCCAAGGCTGTAGTTTAATTCCCAGTCTGAGCACATACAAGAGTCAACCAATCAATGCACAAATAAATGGAATAATAAATTGATCTCTCTCAAGTCAATTTTTTAATATTGATTTTTAGAGAGAGAGGAAGGGAGAGGGAGAGAGAGATAGAAACATTGATGAGAGAGAACAGTGACTGGCCACCTTCTGCACGTCCCCCACTGGGGATTTGGCCTACAATCTGGGCATGTGCCCTGACCTGGAATTGAACTGGCGACCTCTTGGGGCATGGATTGATGCTCAACCACTGAGCCACACTGGCCGGGCTCTCTCAATTCAATTTAAAAAATAACCAAAATTAGCCCTAGCCAGTTTTGCTCAGAGGCTAGAGCATCGGCCAACAGAGTTATGGGTTCAATTCCAGTCAAGGGCACATACCTCAGGTGCAGTTCGGTCTCTGGCCTGGTCCAGGGCGTGCGGGAGGCAGCCAATCAATGTGTCGCTCTCACATTAATGTTTCTCTCCCCACCCCCACCCCCGTCTGAAAATAAATGAAAAAATATCCTCAGGTGAGGATTAAAAAAAAAGACCAAAATTATAGTTAGTTGGTGGCAAAATCACGACCAATATCTAGTTCTCTTACCTCCCAATGTAATATATTCTTTTTGCCATACTGCACTTCAAGATTTTTCTTATTTTGGACAAATTTGCATTAATAAAATAAAGCAGGCTGCCCTGACCAGTTTGGCTCAGCGGTTAGAGCGTCGGCCTGCGGTCCGGAGAGACCCGGGTTCGGTTCCCGCTAAGGGCACGTACTTCGGTTGCAGTTTGTCCCCGGCCCTGGTTGGTCGTGCGGGTGGTAGCCACTCGATGTGTCCCTTCACGTCGATGTTTCTCACTCTCTCTCCCTTCCTCTCTCTCCCTCCCATTCTATCTGTACAAAAAATGGAAAAATATCCTCGGGTGAGGATTAAAAATAAATAAATAAATAAAGCAGGCTATAATATTAAAGATTTATCAGACAGAGTAGCAGTGAGGTATAATGAAAAAAAATAATAAACAATACTTCAAAATACCCAAATTAGAGCTTATTAATTCCAAACTGTATGAGTCTTAACATCTCCAGGTAATAAATAAACTGTAAAATGATATCTGAATGTCAGTTAGTTATCATTATAACTATTTATTTATTTATTTTTATCCTCACGCAAGGACATTTTTCCATTTTTTGTTCAGACAGAGTGGGAGGAAGAGGGAGGGAGAGAAACATCAACGTGAAAGGGACACATCGAGTGGCTGCCACCTGCACGACCCAACCAGGGCCAGGGACAAACTGCAACCCAGGTACATGCCCTTAGTGGGAACCGAACCCGGGTCTCTCCGGACCGCAGGCCAACACTCTAACCTCTGAGCCAAAACGGCCAGGGCTCATTATAACTTTTTAAATCTTGGACTTTTTAATAAACTAAAATAACATGGAATTTTTCCTCCAAAAGTACTGCGTTCTCATAATGGAGCTAGCAAAGAGCATGCCAAAGTAGAGAGGTTTAACTTAAAAACAAAATCTAAATTTACACGTCTGTCACTAATCTCACTGAGTGTTAAGATAACATTGGCTATAGAACTTAAGATGGGTAGCTTCATTCTCTTGATAGCAAAGACAAAATAAAATATACTAGCTAAAGAACTTTAGGAAGCTCTTCTCCACATATTTTATGAGATTTTATGCTGCATTATGCTAAAAACAGAGCAGAATGATAGAGTGGAGTCAAAAAATGCAGAATGGAATCTTGGCTCCCCTACTTACTAGCTGTGCGACTTGAATGCTCCTCATGCCCTAGCTTTCCTCAACTGTAAAACAGAACTGTGAGAATTAGAAGTAACTGAGGTAAAACACCTCGTTTAGCCCAGCCGGTGTGGCTCAGTGGCTGAGCGTCAACCCATGTACCAAGAGGTCGCAGGTTAGAGTGCGTGCCCAGGTTGTGGACCAAATCCCCAGTGCGGGGCATGCAGGAGGCAGCCAATCGACGTTCTCTCTCACTGATGTTTCTGTCTCTCTCTTCCTCGCCCTTCCTCTCTGTCTAAAATCAATAAAGAAAAAAAAATTTTAAAAGCAACAACACCTAGCTTAGTGTCTGGATATATAGGAAGCATTCAATAACTATTATTAAACTTGAAATTATCAAAATTTGCTGAAAAACAAAGTTTACTATAAGTAATAAAGTATTTGAATGATGAATTTCATTAAGAGAGCAAAACAATGGGCACACATTATGTTAACTTTTTTTTTCTTTCCTTTACTGAGTAGAGAGAGAGGAAGGGAGAGGGAAAGAGAGAAAGAAACATCGATGAGAGAGAACATCCACTGGCAGCCTCCTGCATGAACCACTGGGGATCGGACCCACAACCTGGGCACGTGTCCTGACTAGGAATCGAACCGGCAACCTCTTGGTGCATAGGTAGAAGCTCAACCACTGAGCCACAATGGCCGGACTATGTTAACTCTCAAGGGTTATTATTGTATAGATTTAATGCCAAAGTGATACAACAATGAACAACAATAATTTTCAAATCTATGTATCTTTTTAACTCTTTTATCCAACAGTCATCTACTTTGGCTATTTATTTACGGGATACTACATATCTGGCTAACAGGTACTCTTTTGTTTTGATTTTTAACCTTAAATTTTTTTCTGTAACTCTCTACCCTTGAGTGTGGGATTTAAAGTGTGTGGCCTCCAGTCACAACATCCTAAAACATAATAAACGAGATATTCCTTACAAAAAGATTTTAATGAATCAACTATAAAAAGATAAGCTTAGGTTATCTTCCCTCTCTCAGAAAAATATGTAACCAAGAAAAAGAAAACAATCTTTCACATTTTGTATTAATCAACACTAATTTGAAATTAGTTATTTGCTATAAAATGTTCCTGCACTCACAAAAATTCTGAGAGATCAGCTCTCTATTTACAATTATAAAATTATCAGTCCTTTAAAAAGCATTAATAAAATAAAAAGCATTCTGAGTATTTTGAGAATTTAAAAAATTTTGATGTAAATGTTTTAAATTTGAAAAGCCTGCTTTATCTTATCTACATCTTCTACCTACTGAAACTAAATATTTAAAATGTTTTCAATAAATTAGCAGTAAGTTTATTACTTCATGAAAAATCAAATAGTTTATTGTTTTACTACTTATAAATTAGGACAGTAAAGAAGTAAATGACTTTAAGAAATACTCAGATGAAAAAAAAAGAAAAGAAAAAGAAGGCAAAAAGGAAAAAACAAAGGAACAAAAGTAAAGAAATACTCAGATAATGAAGCTCATTAACACACATCATTTCCAGCCCTTCTCATTTGTATTCTAGCATGGAACATTTCACATAATAAAAGATTAGCTTTTGGTTTATAAACACTTAAAGCATGAACACTGTACAAAGAGGGTCCCCCCCCCCCGCCCCTTACTCTTTTTTTAATCTTCTAAGAAACGTTTAGAAAGCTGTAACTGCCAGTTACATACCAATCACAGTAAACAGACATGCTTAATAAAGCAAAAGTCTTATTATTTTAGTACCACTACTAGAGATAAACTACAAATTGAAAATAAATTATAAAAATAGGATATAACAATGCAATCTTAAAGCACATACTACAAAAGAACTCTTTCCAACAGTTACTGGCACAATCTAAAAGTGAATAGCACAGTGATAAAGAGCTGTCCCCCACTCAAATCTTATTTGAGTACTTTCAAGATTCCTGTTAACTGCTAAATGTCTGCTCAGTAAGTATAACTACAGTCCCAACTTTTACAGCAGTACTAAATATGAAAACACCAAAAATTAAGCTCACTGCATCTCTCTACGCTAGGACAACATAATGTTCTATTAAAGTAAAAACAAATGATACCCAGTATGCTTTCTTCCTGTGATGAAGTTAAATATGAAAACCTTAAGGAGACCAATTTCATAATTTTTCTCCACTACTCTCCTGCAACAACACTAGTTTTTAATTTAAACTCCCCCCAAACACTTCCTATCTTGATATTTTCCCCATAAGCATAAAAAGAAATCAAGGAATAGACTAAACTGAAGACTTTCAGGTAACAATTTCACCCTCTGCACCTAGCTGGCAAGTTTCCTGAAACTTCTGTCTCACCGTCTTACAATTTCATCCTTCAAATGGAAATGAAGAAAAACACCGAGTGAGATGTACACTGAGCTGTGAGAGATCCCAGGTCAGCCCAATCCTCTGCCAGAAAAGGCCAGGTAACATTTTCTCTAATTGTTGTTTTGGAGAAGTTTTTCTCTCACCCCCTTGATAAACCTTCTTGTAAATTACTCTACTACTGTAATTCGTTTGTAGTTACAATACTTCTTTCCAAAGGAATCATTTCCCCACACGGTGACTACTCTCTGAAGACGCTTTTCAGATGTTTCCTTATTTCCTCATCCATTTCTCAATTTCATGACCATAAATAAACCTCTCTTGTTAGAGTAGTTCTTAGAGACGAACAGACTTGAATGGATTTTCTGAAATGTCTCAGATCTTCGTCCCAATCTCAAAACCTGTACACGTCTAAGAGTTCCCCAAAACAATGAGCTACAAAAGTACAAACTAAACGGGAAAGAAGAGGAAGTATCAGAACAATACCCAACCAAACACGGCACCGAAAACCCCTAGCCGTCTCTCTCATCCCACCCTACCACCCACTTCCCCCGTTTAACCAAGGTCTCTCAAACTCGGACAAATGGCCCCCTGGCCCATAACTTCCCCCTCGCTCCATGAACAAGGTGGCAGAAAGAAAAGCAAGTTCCGGTCAATCCGAGCTGTGATGCTTTTTCTGCCGGGTTGAGGGGAAGCAAGCCAAGGGTTGTGTAAAGAATGAAAAGCCGAGAGATACTGGGGGGAGGGGGGAATTAGGGCGCCAGAACTAATCCCCTGCCGGGGTCCGCGAATGGAAGACGCAGGAAGCGACCAGCGAGGAGGACTGGGGAAGCCGAGCTGCACTAGGCTTTCGGGTCGCGAGGATGGGGGAAGAAGTCTGGTAGCTCCAGCGGCGGGTGGGTGTCGGCGCCAGGCAAGGGAGGAGGCTCCGAGCGGAGGGAATTTTCGGGGCACGAGAGCGGGAATTGCCTTCCTCACGCCGCCCTAGCCCCACCAAGCTCACACCTCAAACCTGCTCTTGGTCACTCCGTTCACGTCCCTCCTCATGAGGCCGGCGGGTGCGGCCCGGAGCGGGCGCTGCGGCGAGCGGAGTGCAAAGACGCGGGGCCCCGGGCAGGCCCGGGAGTTCCGGGACAGGGAGGAGGCAGAGGAGCGGCGGGCAAGGGCCGTCAGCGGGGAGGAAAGACCTCTCAACTCCGGCTGGGCCTCCTCCTCCTCCCCCCGCGGCGCCGTCGGCGGCGACTGCTCGTCGCTAGCTCTTCTCTCTCCTCAGCCTCAACTTCAACCCAAAACAAAAACACTCTCCACCTGCCAGCAACGCCGCTCCTCATTGGGCAGAGCCGCCCGGGCCTCGGAACAGCGTGGGGAGGGGAAGGAGGAGCGCGCGGCGGCGCGGGACCACCCCTCCCCCACTCTCGGCGCAGCCGAGGCCGGTCGGCCTGGGAGCGGCCGGAGTGCGGCTGAGGCACAAGCCCCCTCTCGCCTCCCAGGCAGGCGAGCCCACCGCGAACTGGAGAGGCAGGGAAGTGTCTATGTGTCTGTGTGTATTTGTGTATGGGAGGGGCTGTGGGGCGGGTGCTAGTGCGCGTGTGCTCGCGGACCCGGGAGAGAGAGGAAAGCAGGACAACTGCACGCAGCACCGGAGCCCCCTGTTCCCCTCCCGCGGGCATGGAGCACGCATCAACCCACCAAGCACTTGAGCTTTCTGTCTAGTTGCCCCCAACCCGCTAAGTCTAGTCGCTTCTTCCCAGATTGCCTGTGCTGCCACACACGTCCTTCCCGGCCACCCAACTCCCTTCCCCTATCACTCACTGTCGCCTTGAACCCAAAGTGCAGCAGGCGGTCCCTGCTCGGAGCCATTTTCCTCTTTCTGGTTGCCTCTAGACTGGGGCAGTGCTGCTGTTGCTGCCGTCGCCGCCGCCGCCCCCGTGGATTGCATTACCAGGTGTTGCAGGGAGGCCTGGAGGGCCGCTGCGGGGCGTGGGTCTCCCTGTGCATGGATCAGGCCAGGGAGATAATTGCGCTGCCCACTGCTCCGGGGATATGCAGCGAAGCTGCGCCTCGCGCCTTGGTGTCAGGGGGTGCAGTGCTGGAGCTGGGCGACTATTCTTTTAGCTGGGGGAGGGGTGCGTTTAGGTGGAAGTGGGGGCGGGCGAGGCAGAATGGCCTTTGGCTTCCCCCCGCCTCTCCGCCACCGGACCGCCTCTGGCGTCCAATGGGCTCTACTGCCTGCCTGTCCTCCAATCAGGGTTCTGGTTGGTGAGGACCTGATCCTGACGCCACTTTGGCGGGAGAAACAAGCGTGTCTGGACGAGTAGGCGGGGGTGTTTGTGGCAAGGAAACTATGACGTTTATCTGACTCAGGTTGTCATCACGTTATTATTCTTTAGCAACTCCAGTCCACAAGGTCTTGAAATTTGTGATCGAATTTACATGAATTAGGAATAAGAGTTTACCCTTAAAACAGAGACAAACTACATAATCACGTCCCAAAAATAAATTAGAAATTATCATAAATTCCAGCAGATATGAGTGTCTTGGTACCTCGTTTAATTCGCAGTTGTAGTGGCTAGCTTGTTATGAATCTCATTATGAGCTTAAGAACAAATAGTACTGGAGAGCTTTAAAAATGGGTATATTTTAGCTATAAGGCTTATTATCCCACCCCCACCCCGCATTATCCTAGACAAGAAACCTAAGCTTCGTAAAATTTTCAGGCCCACAAACCCAGGTCTAGATGTTATATTCTTTCCCTTTGCAGATACTTTTAATGTTATTGCTTCATTTCAACCATATAAAAACAGTTTTTTTGTTATGTATCACCTAAGAGCAGTTTTCTCCAAGCAAGAACTAATGAATTTGGTGACTAGGGCCTGCAGAAAATAGTAAAACTGGCTGGAGTAGGTACATCAAATGAAACTTTCATAGTTGTTTATTTCAATTATCTTTCCCAGTCAACCTATTTTGAATACTTACTGGAGGGAGACTTTTACTTTTTGATAAAATTTTAATCGACCAGATTTTTTAAAAAGCTGAATAAGTGAAAATTATTCAAAGGTTATAAACTTATTACACATAGGCATATTACTTTTTATCAAAGTTTATTTGCATGTAAATAATCAGGTTCTTTTGTAATGTTATGGGGGGGAAAAAATCCCAGATTTTGTCTCCTTTCAAAAAAATGAAAAACCCCAAAGTATTTACAGAATGGCCATACACACAGAAAATCAAATTTCAAAGATTTTAGAAAAGACCCTCCCCAGCTGCTCCTGATGTACATTTTTAAAACTCAAAATTTAAATCCCAGTTTTTACAGCTGAACATGTTTCCCAACCTAGTTTCTGAGATGTTAAGTACTTCCTACCCTTCAAAAAACTAACTTAAGGGTAGAAATCAGGGAGAAGAATTTAAAAGAAGGAAAAAAATATAAGGTAAAAGAAAATGAGATTGCTCGGGGGTTGTGAATGTTTCCTATACTGGCATCTGCTTTCAGTAATTTAACTTAATACTGTGTGACTCAGGCTCCCTAAAAGGTGGTTATTGTTTTTCTGAGAATTCATGATACTGCTGCACTAAATTTTTAGATCTAGGCCTTAAGGAAAATCTTTCCAAGAGCTATCAACCTCAAGCCTGGTTTTGGCAATTATATCCTGCTTCATTCCCCCACCCCCATACTTATTTTAAAACACACTGATTTTGAACCTGAAATCTTCATGTACATCAGAGCAGGTTTTAACCAAGAACCCCTAACATGAAGCCAAAAGACAGAAGAGGAATCAAGTCAAACAAAGAATACATAAGACACCAGCAGCAGAAGATAGGTAGAAGTTGACTTCATGTCCTTGCCGTCTTTTGAAACAGGAGAATGAGTACACCTAGACAGGAGGGAGGTGTCCCAGGCTTGGTTTAACTCTGCCTCTTCTCCTCCACCCTGTGGAGAAATGCAGTGCTCCCTGGTTCTCAGGCAGGGTGAAGCAGTTTAGCCCCGGCTCCCTGTTAAGCAAGTTCAGATGCTGGGTCAGTGTGTGGGGTGTGCCCATCGACAATTCAGGGGCTTATCCTTCATCCAGATCCTAACTCGGGATCCTTTGATCTGGGATGAAGACAGAAAGAGAGAAAAAGCTTCCCAGTTTACTCATTTTGGTATTTGTTGGCTCTGCTTGGGGGAGCTGAGCCCCTGATACTATGCAGTACATTCCCCATAAGATATCCCCACCCAGAACAAACTTAAACACCACATAACTTTTTTTTTTCCTGCAGAAACCAATGGGATAGGATTCAAAACTAGGTGAGAAACTTGTGAGAAATCCAACCTGGTTGTATGTCTGAGAGGCTGCTACTGTATCAGCATCACAAGATAAAGCACTCTGGTATCACCTTGCCCATGTCCTCCTTAGTGTCACCCAAGACATTTGACTCTGATACGGTAACCGATAACTTTTCTTGCTCCACTTTGCAATGTTTCGTTTCCTACTTCTTATTACCTTGGGACACAAAAGTGGCAGAGTTGTCGAGAGCTGATGACCAGAAAAGGGAGAACACTAGAGGAAATCAGAGACAGTCAGGAAAGAAGCCAAAGCTGATTTTTCCAACTCTATACTAACTCCACCTGCAGAAAGAGCTGAATATAGAAATCTTCTTCAATATCTGATGAAGTCACTCCATTTATCACACACATATACAAATGAATCACCTGGCTTTTTTTTTTTTTAATCCAGAAGAGTTGTGCTGGGGACTGTGCCCCGTCCTGCTGATACAGATCCTGAATGGAATCATCAGGAATGGCACAGTGCAGGTGTCAAAAATCAAAGTAAGGCCGCAGAATTTTGAGAGGACCCTCCGAATACTGAGAACTTGTGTTGCACTCAAATGGTCTCCTGGATTTTTATATTTATGAGAAGGGCTTCTTATTGATGTCCCCCAGAATCCAGACTCAGACCTATTCCTCCAAAAAGGTCCAATTTTGTTGCTACACAGTAGCAAGGGTTTATCTTCATGCCCACCTAGCATTCCAGGCCCCTTTATTTCAAGTGAGCTTGAAATTGTTTTAAGTGAACTATGGCTGAAATTTTTTTACTGTTTTATCTAAGGGAGCATGAGTGATTAAAGTCTGGACTCCTCCTTGTGAAGAAAAAGGAGCCCAGCTCTCAGGAATGGCATTTGTTCTCCTACAAACAAAATGTTGGGGTGTGGACTTTTGGCACATTGTGGAAATAGGAGAACAATTAATTCTGCAATGGTTTTCATGCCACTGGGTCAGGAAGGTTGTCCCACATTAAACCTTACTGCATCTGAAAACATGTTTACATCCCAAAAAGCCAGCCCAGCTTTTTTGTAAAGGAAAGAAAGATTATAAATCAATACCTCCACAGGGAGGTAACTCCTAATATTCCTATGTCTGAAACCTATGAAAAACCTCCTAAAACAAAAAATACCATTTTGGTTTCTTCTTAACTTCAAAGGTGGGCTCTGACTAATTTGCTTGGGCTTGATGCTATAGTACCAGCACAAGCTACAAGCTCCCTATAACCAAATAAACCTTGTTCTTCTACCTCCCATCATGTTGAACCCTGAACCTCATAGAATTAGAAAGAAATACTGTATAAAAACAGATAAAGGGTTAAAATATTACAAATAAATAGCTAAAATGATCTTCCCTCCCCAAAACACTCCTAAGAACAGACACCAAACATTACTTAAGTGTCCAAAATAACCCAAGTCCTTCATTTGTCCATGCCTCAAATGGACAACTACCCAAACAAAGGTCAACAACCTTCATGCAAATGCATCAAGGAATGTATTGCTTTTTCACTTTCAACCCAGCCCTTCACATACATGCACTAAAATTGAGTTTAAATCATGGCCTAAAAATGGAAAAAGGGAGAAAAAAAATATATGAATATTTCCCACAAAACTGATTCCCACCCTTCCCTCGCCCTATGCCCCTCCCACCCACTCCCTTTCATAAGCAAGTATTTTAACTTTTTTTTCTGGCAAAGGAGCAGTGATTCTTAGTAACCAAACCCTAGAATCAAACCTCTGGTCTCTTTAGTAGGGTCTGGCTATGTCTTTCTAAATTCACCCAGCTCAGTGTCAAAGACATGCCATTTAACATTCTTAAACACAACCTGTCCGACTCACCCCTTATGGTGGTTTGCCTCTAAGCTTATTAGTTTTTCTCTGCCCATGTTTTTTTCTTAAAAAGTAAGGTTCCTAATTGCCAATCAGGGCCACATCCATAAGATCATCATCTTCCTCCCCAATCATAAAGTCAGGGCTGAGCCTTGAGGGCCTATCTGTAGATAAGATTGTGTTACTTGTCATAGACAAGGACTGATCTGAAGAGATGGGTGATTTAGACCAACTCTCTGGCTTGATGCTATGAGACTTTTTCTTGTCTCGTTCTTTGTCCCGATCCCGGTCCCGATCTTTATCTTTTACTTTCTTCTTTTCTTTTTTGTGCTTCTTATGCTTTTCTGTGCTGTATTCTGGAAGTGGTCGGATGCCATCATCTGAGCTGGGACTGTTCTGATAAGATTTCTCTGCTATGGAGGAGCCTGACTCACTTTCACTGTCCAGATTCTGGGGGGTATATGCTGGTGACTTACTATGGCTGGGAGAGCCACGCTCATGCTTTGGAGTGGAACCACTGATGAGTGGAGAGCCATAGTTTTTGGAAGAGGCCATCTGAGGCCTAAGCCCTTCTCCACTACTTTCCCCAGGTTTCTGCAAAGTCACTTTGGCTTTAATGCTGGGGGATCCCCCATCATGCTTACTGATAATAATTTTTGCCACACCCGTGCTCCCCACATTTTTTGACTCTGAAGTCTTCTTAGATGAATCCACTGAGCCACCTGAGGTGGAAACCTTTGATTTATCTTTATCACTTTTCTCACGCTTGCCCTGAAACTCTCCTCCTGACATGTTATGTTTGGAGGACATAGGATGGCTAGAAGAATTTGTGCTCACCCCCATCTGGCCATCCATTGGGTCTTCACCTCCAGGGCCACTGGTGACAACCCCATGCTTCAGTTTATCTATGACAGCTGTTAAGGACGGCTTCTTATTTCTGCTGGGAGATTTCCCTTTGGAACTCCCATGCTGGTTCTGAGAGGATGACATGGAAGAGCCACTTGAGGAAAAGGAAGATGATGATGCTGTACAAGAATTAGATGATGGGGGAGTTTTCAATGAGCCTGAGGATCCTAACCCTGAAGATGACTTCATACCAGTGCTTGAACCAGTTCCAGACATATGAGAACCACCAGAACCTGAACTGATAGGGGACTTGGCTTTAGAGGCTGGTGGAGTCCCAGGAACAGGTTTCATTGGAGAGGCAAGCTTATCAGAGCCTCCAGGTGGCCTTGAATGAGAAGGGGATATGTTTGGTTTACTTAAAGGATTCATAAGTGATGATGGCTTCCCTTGAAGTTTCATCTTGGTGCTGCTGGAGCCACTGCTCAGTCCATGCTTGGTAATGGGAGAGGAGCCTGGCTTCCCCCCAGACTGGGATGAGTTTTTGGACTGGCTAGACCCAGAAGACCCTTGGCTAGAATATATACTGCTACTTAACTTAGAACTTGATGAACCTTCTGATTTACTGTTTTTCATCTTGCCTGAGTTGGAAGCAGATGAGGAAGAAGAGGAGGAAGAATGGCTATGGTGGCTTTTACTGCCTGAGGAAGACACAGAACCACTGCTGGTATACTGACTATGAGAAGAGGGCTTGCCCACCATCACAGTTCCCTTAGGAATCTGAATAGTGATTTTGGGAATGGGTGGTGTGGCAACACCTGGGGGAGTCTGAGACCTTCCTGAACTGCCTGGAGATTTGGATCCACCTGTACTGGTAGGTGGGGTGAAAGGTCGGTTAGAACTGTGAGATGGAGACTTTCCTTCAGTGTCTGCCTTTTTCCGCTTTGGGGGCTTATCTTTGCTTTTGCCATCATTAGAAGGGGTCCGACTGCGCTTTCCTGGTTTGCTATCTAATCCTGGCCCTGACAAACTACTATTACTGGTGCCATTGCCTTCTTTTACTCTCTTTTGAGTCTTTTCTTTTGCTAAGTCCCCAGTGGTCAATAAAGGACTCTGGCTACCACTGTGATGCTCCATAAGATCTGCAGAACCCAGAGCCTTACCAGCCACTGCTATAATACTGAAATCAACCGTGTCAGCTTGGCTATTGCCTTTAAACTTAGTCTCCCCATTATCACCTCCAAGCATTGGCACCCCCAAAGTATTTAGTGCCTGAGATGCAAATCCTTTGAAATCATCATTATCTCCACTTTGGCTGCTTTCATCAAAGTATTCTTCTACAAAATCACTTTGGCTCTGGCTATTCAACAAATCAGGATTGAAATCTACTCCATCAGAAAAAAAATGATTGGTAGGAGAGTCACTACTGGGGCTTCCAGCAGCATCTGCAATAAGATCTGCCGGATCAGTGTATGGATTTTCATTATTATTGGTTTGAAAGACATCAGGGTCAAAGAGGGCACTCTGAGAATGCCCAGAGCTTGAAGAATCTCGAACAGGGGTGCCAATGGGTGGGCAATCATCACTAGTGCTGGGAAGTTTAGAGGCTTCTTCTGCAATGTCTGAAAGGATATCGGTTACATCTGGGCCAATGCTGTCTGAACTGGATAGTCGGACCATCCTTTGAATACTGGGTTGGGGGTGAGGTACTGGTTGTGGGTAAGTTGTTGGGGGAGTGCTACACTGGCTTGGAGCTGGAGTGATGTGTGGTGTATCCAGCGTGTCAGCTGTCATATTGACATCAAATATAGGGTTCTGTGAGTCAACATCCATTGAAAACAGCTCCCTCTGAAAGTCATCTTCAGTCTGATGCTTGGGTTTGTCAGGTAGTAATCTTGATGACTTCTTCTTCTTTGTCTTGTTGCTTCCCGAGCACATTTCCATCCGGGGTGAGCCGGAAGAGGAGTTCTGCCTTTCTAAAGGACTGCATCCATAAAGGGTTGAAAAATCCTGGGCAGGATTATCTTTAAGAAGGTTCATGAGCATCGGGTGATTCTTGGTGTTGCCGGCCATCGAAGAGACAGGTGGCGGCGTGTGATGAGGAGGGGTCGGACTCGAGCCAATGGTAGACCCCCCGTTCCCTGTGATTTGCAACAAACTGGTAAGAATTGGGTTCTGAGACACCTTGCTGAAGTCCTCCCCATGGCCCACCGACTCATGCCGATCTTTGATGCTCATGCTCATATTAAACAAGGTGGTAATGGGACCCCCCGGAAAGGTGTTGGTTGGTGTAGTGGTACCACTCATTGGGTTGTTGCCTGTGGTCATGCCATACCCTGGGCTGCTAGCCGGGGGCAGGTTCTTTTTCACCATGTCTTCAACTGTCTCTGCAATGAGGGACAGTGCTGGGGTGTCGGCCTGAATGGTTTCAGCCTTCCTCCGAATAGCCCTCATCGTCACAGGGATGGACATACATCTGTAAGATAAGATGGAAAAAACAAAGTTAACATTGCAGGAGCTACTGAATGAAACCAAGTTTTCATCAGAGAAAACAGGCTTTAATTTTTCCTGTGATTTAGATATGTCCTTAGAGGTTTACAGTAATGCAGTTTTCAGGGAAGGCAAATAACCCCAAATGAAATGCCAGAGCTTTGGGTCAATTTATTCTAAAAAGAATCTGGACGGGGCCTAGCTGGTGTGACTCAGTGGTTGAGCATCAGCCCATGCATCAAGAGGTTGTGGGTTTGATTCACGGTCAGGGCACATGCCCAGGTTGTGGGCCAAATCCCCAAGTGGGGGCATGCATGAGGCAGCCAATCGATGTTCTCTCTCACTGATGTTTCTCTCTCTCTCTCTCCATCTCCCTCTCTCTCTAAAATCAATAAAGAAAAAAAATTTTTTTTTAAATCTGGACTGGTAGACTATTGTCAACCTCTTTGGAAGCACCACCAAAAACAAACCATAAACAAGAGTCCAAATAATTAGATATTATAATGCATTAAAATAAAACTGGTAAAACTTAACTCAGTAACTAAATGCCCTCCTCTTTTGGAACCTGACATGTGATTAATGGGATATATGATTTTATCTTAACTAATGAATCACTAGAAAAATATCTTGACCCATCAAGTTCTAAACCTTAATGGTTTAGATCACCCCAAAGTTATACCATGAAAAGTGGTACTACTAGTATGAAATCTTGTTTATTTAAAGCAAAGCACTTTCGCCCTGGCCAGTTTGGCTCAGTGGTTGGAGCATCAGCTTGCTGTCTGGAGAGACCTGGGTTCGGTTCCCGCTAGGGGCACGTACCTTGGTTGCAGTTTGTCCCCAGCCCTGGTTGGGTCATGTGGGTGGCAACCAACCGATGTGTCCCTTTCACGTCGATGTTTCTCTCTCTCTCTCCCTACCACTCTATCTGAACCAAACACTGGAAAATGTCCTCAGGTGAGGATAATAAATAAATAAATAAATAAAGCAAAGCACTTTCTATCTTGTACATATATATTTATAAACCCGTGTCTGAAAACATTTTGCTCTAGAACATGTCAGCAACCTTTCTTAAAGGGCCAATTAGTAACAGTTTAGGCTCTTGAAGATCATATGGCTTCTGTCAAACTACTCTGCCATCATAGCTTAAAAACCACCACAGACAATATGTAAACAAACACGGCGTTCCAATAAAATTTATTTACAAAACAGTTCACTAGTACCTTCTTAAGAAAACCTCGCCCTGGCCTGTCTGGCTTAGTGGTTAGAGCGTCGGCCTGCGGTCCAGAGATACCTGGGTTCGGTTCCCGCTAAGGGCGCGTACCTTGGTTGCAGTTTGGCCCCGGCCCTGGCTGGGTTGTGCAGGTGGCAACCACTTGATGTGTCTCTTTCATGTCGATGTTTCTCTCTCTCTCTCTTCCTCTCTCTCCCTCCCACTCTATCTGAACAAAAAACGAAAAAAAAAAAAAGAAAGAAAACCTCAAAATTACATTTAATGTTTCTGGAAAGCTGACTGGCTTAAGTATCTTCCCACATACTGCCACTGACATGATACATATATTAAAAAGTGACAGGATAAGCCTGGCCAGTGTGGCTCGTTGGCTGAGCATTGCCCCATGTATCAAGAGGTTGCCGGTTCGATTCCCGGTCAGGGCACAAGCCCAGGTTGTGGGCCAAATCCCCAGTAAGGGGCATGCAAGAGGTGGCCAATTGATGTTCTCTCTCATCGATGTTTCTCTTATCGATGTTTCTCTCTCTCTCTCCCTCTCCCTTCCTCTCTAAAAATCAATCAAGAAAAAAATAAATAAAAAAGTGGCAAGATAAGTGAAAAAAAAATCTACATCTTATTTCAGCTTTCCCTCCTACAAGAACCCTAATGCTGGGCCTGAAGTTACGTACCTTACTTCCTATTACTCTCATAATGATACTTTAAAGGCCAAAGCTCATACTGTTTTTTAATCCGAAAGCAGAGAAGAGTGAATTCAAAGCAGTGAGTAAATGCTTTCCTCCTCAATTTCCAATTCACTCTAATACTGAAAAAAAACATTACTTATACACCTGTTACTGGGACTCTGATGAAAAAGGGCTAGTGCTACCTTTGAACAACTTTGGCAATGAAGTCATCTGTGCAGATGAGTGCATCTGACAGCCCCTTGTAGAGTTTACAGCTCACATGTGTTGAGTCCTGCACATCCATGACCACTGAAAGACAAAATATATAGGAGGTATTTGAGTTAGATTCAGCTTCTGACTTTTCAAAATGAAATAAAGGAACCAAACTGCTGCCCTGAGAGAGGTGATAATCACCCATACAACTCACCACACACCAGGGAGTCATTCACAGGGTGTTGAAAAGATACACTGAAACGGGACTCTGAGAGGGGACACACTTCAAATTGGAGGAGCCCGGGAGAATCTAAAAGGCAAAGAAAACATCAACCAAATATAAGACTTGAAAACATCAACCAAATATAAATATTATTATAAATAATAATCCCTAAACGTAGAGAATGAAATTTTCTTTCCCTTAGAAACTAAATCCCACACCTACTATATCATCCACAGGTGAATCTGCCAGTTTATGTTATAAATACTCTAAAACAAAGATCTAAATTTCAGTTTTCTAAACTGAAGACATTTAATCCCTAAATTGTTAAAGACTTCAACAGTGAATTCTGAATATAAATGTGGCCAAGAGGAGTTTCTCATTCTGTTTGATAAGCAGACATCCAGAAGCACTGCCATAAACCCTGCTTTCTATCAGTGTTTGCAGCTGTTAGCTGTGCAACCTATAATCTGATGAGCAAGGATATAGGGCTACAATCTAAAATGATATATACACATAAATACAAACATATCTATCATATGTTCCTAAGCCAAACATGCTGGCAGCCCAGAAACAAGGATTACATACTTTCTTGGCAGAAAGCATCTCTGAAGGACTAAATTCAAACTACCTCACAAAAACTCATTTTTGGACGCCCTGAAGCTATTTGGAAAATTCTAGGATTCAAATACATGAAATAAAAGGACCATGAGCATACTTACTTATGCGCTCTAAAATGTCTCAATTCAAAAGCAATTCTTATTCTCATAAAAGTATCTCCTGATTTACCTTCCCTGTTTCTTCTTGCCTACCATTTGCACTGGTCTATCTCTATCACTGAAGTGCTTTACAACTAGGGTAAAAAGTAAGCATAGTTAACTACAGCAGCCAAAATTCACATCAAAACATCTAATAGCAAACGGCATTTGAAAAATACC